TGAGTCTCCCAGTTTCTATGAGGGTCAATCACCGCATCAAAAGACAAAGAAATGAACTGAAGAGTCAGGAGAATTAAAACCTGATCTCCAGGGGAAACAACAGACTTAACAAGTATGTTTCATTAGCATTAAAAACCAGTTATTGGATTCCCAACAGAAGAGAATCTCAGTCACACCAGAGAGCTGATTCTAAGCACAACAGAAAAGTCTGCCATCAATGCCCATTATTATTTTTTGCAACACAGACATTAAAATTGCAGACTACTGAAATGCCAAACCAGTAACTCAAGCTATCTCAGTGCTCTTTCACCAGAGCTAAGACTCTGATGGGACCAAAAGGTCAGTACCACTACATGGCATTTGAACATTAGGTTGGGTACTTAGCTATACTCAAAGCTGGAATTAAGTCCAAGTGACCTGACTTGCAGTCTATACATAACAACTAACAGCATAACAGAATTTGCTAATTCTTGTTCTGTGGCAAAGGAACAAAGGAACCAAGGAACCACAATGTAAAAGCTTCTGATACTACTTATGTACAGCTGTGGGAACAGGAAGGTGAATTTTAACATGCAGAATGCATGTTCTGCCAGTGTAATTCGCTGCAAGAGAATAGGAACTAGAACACAGCACCATGAGGCAATACAGACTGATTTTATTTAAAAAAAAACACAACACCCCACAACAACAACAACAAAACCCCACACCAAAAAAAAAATTCCAAACCCACACCTCTTTACTTTAAGCATCATGAAAAAAACAACTTTAAAAAACTAAACTGAAATCAGCTTCTATTTGGGAAAAGACTTGTGTGCTGCCCAATGTCGAAGAGATTAATTTAATTAAAAGCATTCAACCAACACAAACTCACTGCTAATACCAGATGATTTGCTGATCACCTGGGAAAAGAACACATCATCAATGAAAAAACAGCTTTTGACATCTGCAGATGCACAAAGAGCATTTTCTTCAGCTCAGCTAAATAACTGGTTCACTCAAGAGAAGCCCGCTGGGAGGAGAGGCTAGAACGACCTGTCCTCCCTTTCCAATCAATGAAAAAGAACTCGATACTAAAAACAGAGGTATATCATATCATAGTGATTGCATTTTTTTTTTTTTTAATTTTTAGAACCATTTAAATTCACTAGTAAAATCCAACCAGTAACACTGGATTTGCTAGCTGTAAAAACTATTATTAAATGTTAAATCTATTATACCGTTAAACTCTTATGCTAAAAAAACAAGTTTACACATAAGTCTGTACATATATATCTATAAAAACTCATTTAACAGTTTAAACTAGAACTGCCTAAACTATGCTCAGATATTAAAATACCATTTTCTGCATTTTCAGTTAAAACATCTGAACAGTGAGCATCCAGAAAAAAGTAACTATCACCATTTTTCAACATGATAAAAGGTAAAGCTTCAAAATCTGAATCTTAAGCTACGTACCCACCAAAGCATGCATACGGTACTCGCAACTATCAAAAGTCCCTAAGTTGTATGTACATGCAGCTGTCAGTTATCAATAATAAACATTTTTTCAAAAACCCACAAATGCAAAACGGTATTAAAAACAGTTATTGGATCAAAATTTCTCTCCCAATTTAAATCACAATTAAAACCCCAAGTTAAATAAAGCTATCCTCTTCCACAATCTGAATTCTAGTTACAGATGGCTGTTTCTCAGAAAACACGTCCTGCACACATCAATGGACAGACTGAAAGAAGTCAGCATCATGGCACATTTGATTGCATCTATCTGTACTGATCACTTCCATCTTCAGAAACATCCAGGGGGAGAGGGGGGTGGCACACAAACTATCTAGGAAGAGTCATAAAGAACATTTCATGTATCATCAGCAATACATAATTCTACAACACCCCATGTTTGCTTTTCAACCACTGTTGTTGCTTATCTTCTTTTCTGTTCTACACCGAGCTTACACAGTGATGTTATTCTATTTTGATTTCGTATGCACAAAACAAAGATTTGAACAAAAGCCAAATTTTCCCTGACTTCTTTCCATGTACCGTGCAAGACTTGGACAAAAGATCAAGGAAGCCAACAGCCCAAGTGGTGTTATGGGTAACTGTCCAGCTGACACTGAACTACTACCTTAATTTTGCCACCTTATAGTGTCCAGATGGGATGAGGAGTCTTCTGCAGGCTTCCACTTTGCATTTTCACCCTACTGCCTTTAGGTTGGGAGGTTCTTTTGCCCTAATGGATAGCACGGCAGGATTCTTACGACGTTCACCTTCACATAAATGAAATGCAATGACATGTTACTTATTTGGGAGGTCAGAGGCAACAACAAAGTTGCCTTTCACAAAAGAACTTAATTTAGGAATTAAATTTCTTTTATACCCTTCTGTATGTTCAGTCAGGATACAGCCACAGATTTTTTTTATTTTTTTACTTCAAACTACCAAACAAGGAAAAGCCACTGGCTGAGTATGGGAGAATCAGAATTTCTTTAATTATTATCATAGCCTTTGACGTCTCTAAGGAAGCATAATATCAGCTAAAATTAAAGTACTGAACTACCATGTGCCAAGCTATGTAACTACTTAAAGCAATCATCTGTGTAATGTACCATCAGGTGTAAAACACGCATTCACCTGGAAAAAAAAAAAGGAAAAAAAAAAATCAGAGCTTTCCAGCAGTTACTAAGCAACCAAGAGCAGAAAATAATATGAAGCTTTCAAAATAGAAATGCAAACCAAAGCTGAAATTAATTATTTAAAAGTCAATCCAGCTGGTTTATCAACGACTCGCTAAAAGCCTTTCTTATAAAAGCTCCTGTTTAATCTCTGACCCTCTTAAACAAATAAACAAAAGGCAGTTTTTAAAAAGATGCCTTCCAACATATATTCTGAAGGTCTCCCACTACTCCAAAAGCTAGGAATGTTTCATTTAACCTAAATATTTATCAAGTTCCCCGCGGGGAAAAGGTATGCTTTCTTTTACAAGCAACTACTAAAACAGTACTCCAAATATATATTAATTTACTGCTTTATATTTGAGGTTAATTAGTATCCAATGAGTTGGCACAATAAATGAGGGGAGGTACAAATTACACAGTTGTATGGGTTGTTGATTGAACTCCAGCTTTCCAGTAAAATTCTTAATTCCAGAGACCTAAAGGACAAAGACCATAAAGAGCTGTTCTTAACTCTGCATATCTAAAAAGATACACAGATGCTCAGCTCATTACTTTCAGCAGCAACTGTGCATTGTTGTTTGCTCAACTCCAGGAATTTCTCTGACTGCTTTAGAACGCAATCACATCACCTTAACGAGTCCTTCATTTTTCTTTTGTACTTACATTGCATTAGAAAACACATTGTAGATTCTCCTTGTCAAAACATTTTGGGGTTCAGAATCAAACTTGGACTCACTGATGAGCTACAAAGGCACGCCTGATCTAGTAAAATGTCCTAAGCCATATGCCTAACCAGAGACCCAGCTCCAGATGTCCAAGCCAGACCTTTACACACGCATCTAGTCTTAATCACTCCTAGTTCTCCAGCATACCTCAGATGTTCTGCTATTGCTTGATACCAGAGAAATTAAAAGCCCAAAGATTTATTGAAAACTACATAGTTCATTTTTCAAAAACAGCCAATCAGTTGATCCCATCTCAATCTTTTCTTATCATTCATATTATTTTACATTTACCTAATTTCTCCTCCTAAATTACACCACCAGGACCACAGCTATGCCCGCACGGCTTTTCCCTTGTTTGTCCTTAACTGTAGCTTCGCACAGTTAACAGCAAGACCTCAGCCAGCAGAACCACACACACGTAAAAGCTGCCACCACTTCCAATTTTCTCACAATTGCATTCTACTGCTTCAGGAACACACCCCTAAACCAGTGTCCAACTCTACTGCTTGAAAGAGCTGTAAATATGTAAAATATTTGCAACAGAGAGGTACTGTAGGGTGGGGTTCAAGCAAATATTGTAACTTTTTGTCTTTTTTTTTTTTTTTTAATTGTCCGTTTCATATGTGCAACCACAAAATGTAATCCTAAACAATGCATCAATCCGGAATGCTCTCATAAACTGCATACGACCTGTTGTACGTGGGTACAAAACATGGTTATTTCAAAGAAATAGCACCGCACAAGTGCCTTTGACTAGATATGTACAGTCTCCCTGCTCTGTATTATTATTGTGCTTTAGCTCAAATCCATCTCACAAGAACAAAACCACCTAAAATTTAGAACCATAAAAGACATCGTGTGACTGAACTATGTCCAGACAGAACACACTGATTCATACAGAGTTTTGGGGTTTTTTTTTCATCTTAAGATAATACGCACAAGCATTGAGCTATTCACTTTTATCTACTTCCATCAAAACCTCAGTAATTTTTAATGAGGTTTCAAATTTTTAGATTTCTATGGCTCCTGCCTTCAGGCTGCTCTCATCTGGATTGAGTCATATCTCCACGCACATATTATGTTTCTATGGACAAGACCATAACATTCAAACCATCACCAGAAACCCACAGGTTCAGAATCATCTCTCCAAAGACTACACTCGTATTTTACTTCAACTCCTGTCAAGAAAAACCATCAGCTAAGTGGAAATTTAAGACCACACTTGCTTTTCAAAAAGTGTGTCACTTCTGAGAAAGTCCTCTCGTAATCACACAAAGTTTTAAACCAGCTATGCTATCAATCTGAAATTCAAGCAAGCAGAATTGAAAAAAAAACCCCAAAGTCTTAGAGAAAGGCTGCCTCTTTGTGCAAGGCAACACGTGATAAAAGCCTTTTAGATATCAGATCACAAAAAGATGTGAAACGTTTACAGTTAAATTCTGAAAAGTTAAAATAACGCTCCCCTAAAACTGCAAGGCATAAACCGAAAGATTTTTCTCCTGCAATCCAGTCCTGGCAAGCGGATCACTGCACAGACCGCACATCAGACAAAATACCTTCAGACAGCGACCAGGGTCCGCACGCCCACGGCGGCTTGCCTTACCAGCCGCCTCCATTTTCGCTTTCCGCCCAAAAATTCACCTTTCTCCGCTTCCAAGAAGCTCCCTCGGTATTGACGTTACCTACGGACGCCTTCTCACCTGGGTAACCTCTTACAGTCTGCCCAGACAGGCTGCACACCCCTGAGTTAGTAATCCCGCACCAGAGCCACATTCGGCAATTTGCACCCTGACATTAACTCTTTTCCACACATCCCTCCAGCAGGGCCAGGAAGAAGGGGCCTGAGGGGAGGGGGAGGTTGGGGAACGACACAACAAAATACAGAAATATAGAGATGTAAAAGGAACGAACAACCCATACGCTGCAGCCTCCGCCCCAGCAGGTTCCTCCTCCCCGGAGGCGTCTCCCGGTGC